AGTCCTGTAAACATAATTTGTTTACACATTTCTTCTAAGAAACGCCTTTTGATGGATGTTTCGCATGACCAGTGTGCTTGGGAAGGTGGTAACTTAATTATCCAATCCCTGGTCATTGTCAAGAATCTATAAATACTGGAGTCAGAAAATAAAGGTTCTTTCCTGTTCTAACGCTGAAAGGTGTTTGTGTGAATCATTTTGTGTCCTTTAGAGACAGGGTCCCAAGGCTTTAGCCTCACATACCACTCAGAGAAGTCTTTGGGTGTTTATGGTGCTGGTGGCAGCTGCAGTGGGTATTTGGGGAGGGGAAGCAGGAGAATGAGCCCAGCATGACCAGGACAGTGCCAAGGATCAGTGGGGATGAGCTGAAGGCTCTGTGCAAAATGCAGGCATGAGGATGAGGATGCAAGGGTGAGGATGAGGATGCAGGTTGACTTTTGACCAAAAGCTGGACCACCAGGCACATCAGCCAGTTGTGTTCAGTCAGTACAAGCATACCCTGGAAAGTCTCAGGTCTGTGCACTCTGGGTGCAGCCCCAGAGCCAGCAGGGAATGAGAGAAAAGAGCAAAGGCTGAGTAAGGCTGGGGAAGGACAGGCACCCTGTCAGAGGAAGAGGATGGCAGACAGACCCTGACACTTTCTTGGGGCCCTGTGTGCTTTCTGCCCTAAAGTCCCTGCCCCATACAGCATTCTCTTGCCCCTGAGGCCCTGTAGCCCACAGGCAGCATTGCCCTTCATACCTTTTGCTCCTCTCTCTGCTGACACAGCTTCTCCCTGTGGTGTTCAGGAACAGGAATTAGGAGCTGTGCATCATGGATTAGGTATTCCATTAAGATGGAAACTTCGTGAGCTGCTGAAATGACGGAGTAGTCACTACATTAGACGGTAGTCTTCAACCCGTGCAAAGGGCATTTGACCTTTGTTTGATTGGTTTCCTAATAAGGTGATAACATAAAGCTCAGTGTTCAGATAACATCCTGTGAATATGAACACCAGAAAGGATCTGTATCCTGTTCCATCCTGCTACTGATTAGGTGACAGCCAGTCAGTGGGAACTACATGTACACATGCATAGGTCGTACGTACAACAGGTACACCTGCAGCATCTGGCTGTAGCCACCTGGTCTGCCCAGTAGCTTCCCCTGGAGTCCCAGGTCTCTCTCCTGATCGCCCCCCAGCATCCAGCCTGGATTTTGGACCACCCCAACACTCCACATTCCCCTCTGTGAGAGCTGGCACCCAGCTCTCCCCATATGTGCATGCAGCACAGAGACTCCCAACCAGAACAGTAGCAGGAAATGGAGTTTGATGAGAAGATGGGGCAGAGAGGGATGCAGAGACACCAGATGAGGCCAGGTGAGAGTCCTGGTTGCCTGCATGCAGCTTTCACCCCTACTCTCAGCTGTGGGGTATCGTGCTGCCCCACACTGGGGGTGCTGCCTGGAGCCACCCAGCACAGCGCCCCGTGAACATCCCAAATGGGTGCACAGACAAGAGGGCACCTGCTGAGGCCTGAAGCCATGATCAGGGATCAGAATTACCCAGCTACTGTCCCCCAACCCCATCTTTCCCAGCCCCTCCAAAACACTTCCCTGTTGTCCCCCCACCAGCACCTTGCTCTCCCCATGGCCACACCGTGGCTGCTTGTGTACCAGGGACACAAGGGACACAGCGCTCTGCTGCATGAAGAAAGGTTTATTTGGCTCCATATGTGAGGGCAGCAAGTGTGGGAATGGGGAGCCCCACCAGAATGTTGCTGGGAGGCAAGGGGAAGAAGCAGGGCAAGGTGAGGGTGTGTTTCCTTGCCAGGAGCTTGGGACTGGGACAGTGGGGAGATTTGGGGATGCAGAAGGACAGCACTGTGCAGGCAGCACAGGATGTGTCAGCAGGATGGGAGGGAGGGCTGCAGGGTGAGATGGCAAGGGCAGAGCTCACCTTGTGGCTTTCCAGGTGTCCTTGTGTGACAGGACCTTTTCCTGCAGGAGCCACACGGTCTCCAGTGTCTCCTCCCCACAGTGATCCACAAAGAACTGGCCCACGAAGGCAGTGGTGGAGTCTGGCAAGGTTTGAGAGAGGCAGAGCAGGGTAAGAGCCTGCACCTCAAGACAGGGAATCCTGGGCCACCTGATCCTGGCAGACAGACGGACAAACACCACCTGCTACATGCCCTGGACAGAGAAATGGACTTCCCTGCCAGAGTGGCCAGGGGGACCACATCACCTGGACAGAGAATTGAGCATCAGCCCTGCCATGCCCCTTGGACAGACAGATGGACACCAGCATCACCCCTTCCAGACCCTGAAACCCACCAGAGACAGCTCTTCCCATGGCAGGAATGTGTACGTGTGGCCAATCTATGCCCACAGCCAGGGTTCCTCTGGGTGCCACAGGGGATTTGGGGCACCAGACAGGGGGGGTTTCTGCTCCCAGCATGAGCAGGGGATCAGTCACTGTTGTGCCTGAGAACTGCCTCTGCACAGTGAAGACACCAAATGTGGGGTGTCTCTTGGCACTGGGATGCTGCTGAACCCCTTGCAAGGGTGACACCAGGATCTGCTTGTTGGTGGCTGCCACTGTGGTGTGGCAGGGGCCTGAGAAGTTCCCAGCTGTGTTTGTGGCCAAGATGGTTGCATAATGGAGCCCGGCTCATTTCTCCACAGGCCCTGCAGGTCACACTGGGGACCAGGGGTCGTGTGAGTGGCTTGGGCAGTGCTGAGCCACTCCTTCCCCCAACCCCAGCCTCCCCAAGCAGTGGGATGTGTGTCCTATGTCCCCCTGTGTGCCAAGTGAGACCAGCACATGGGCACCAGCTGGGACAGCCCCTTTCCCTCCCTGGGCAGGGCAGGGCAGAGCTGGAGGTACTGGGTACCTCCCTACTGCAGTGGTAGGTGACCAACAGTGCCCCCAGGGACAGCACAGCCAGAGCTGGCAGCCTCTTTGGTCATGGACACTGCTCTGTGGCATGGCATGGCACAGCAGGGCACAACAGGAGCAGGAAAACACTGTGCTGGGGTGTCACAGGACAGCACAGCATGGCATGGTGAAAGCATGCAACCCTGTCAGCCCTGCACACTGTGCCCCAGTGGTGGCATGGCATGGCACAGCAGCCTGTGGCACAGCACAGCAGAGCACAGAGTGGCATCAGAAAGCACAGCAGGAGCACAGAGTGGCATCAGAAAGCACAGCAGGAGCACACAGCCCCTTGGCCATTCCCAGTGCTCTGCAGAGATGGCACAGCTGTGTGAGCAACCCCTCACGCCCCGTGCTGCACCAGCACAGCCCAGCACAGCCAGACTCTGCCCACAGCTGCCCTTACCTGCCTGGCTGCAGCACCACGGGGCACGAGCAGGGCCAGCAGCAGCAGCAGCAGCCTGGGTGCCCATGGTGGTGGTGG